TTATCTCTGCTCCTATTGAGCCGAATTGCGCGATCTTGAGCTACCTTGAGAAGAGATACCTCGATTTGCGACGTTCAAGTCCCTATCTTCCTTTCATACTGGCTCCCTTGGCTCCAAGAGCACAAGACCCCCTTCCAGATCGTGTTCCTTACTGCCGGTAGCAGTCTTTTAACCCCCCAACTACATTGGGCCATGTTAAATCCCTGTCTCGAAACATGATCGGGAGGGGATCACTTCCGGGGCTATGTTCGGTGGAAATATTGTCCCCTTCCATGCGGTGCGGGCAGTTACCGTCGCGAAGCGACGTGAATTAGTTGTCTGGCGCGAGGGGACAGGGATATGGGACAGCCAGCATGCATCATCTCATGCCCTCTCCTACATAAGCAATTCCCACCTGCTCATTCCACACAGGCTTGCGTGTGGTGAGAATCTGTGCTTCGCCATTTTGGTGTTCAGCCTCAGGCTTTACTCAACTTTTCTCAACCCCTCAAAGTGCTCGCCCAAAAGCTGCCTTCCAAGACTCGGACGGTGACATCTGCCAAGTCGCCCATTCCCAACATAGGACACCAAACCACCTCAAATTCCGTGGCCGTACTTTTGGGCTGCCCTTTTCGTTTCCACACTAGGCAACGGGCACAGGTGTCGTTCTGGTAGAGTCCCGGAATTATGACCTGTGTTCATCGGAATCCTTACACAAAGAATCACAAAGACTATATGCCGGATCTCTCGTAGCTTGCCAGCTGAATGAATCTCAGCACTGCAGCGCCTCCATCACATTTGAAAGGCCTTCACCCACTGCGTGTTGCTTGTGCTTGATGACCGCAACCTGGCAATCTCGATTGGTCAGTTCAAAGGACAAATCAATGGACGACAAGGCAAGCACAGCCTTTCTTCCCAAAAACTACTTTCAGCATGGATGTGTCATGAGTCAATCTTAGCGCGGGAGAAACGGAGAAACTCAGACAAAACTTTGAGCCTGCTGCTTCCCTCGAGAAGTGCAAGACCGATGTGGGGAAAGGTATTGACAGGCTGAACACCTTAGAGGCTGAGAAATGACTGACTGTATGTGTTTGGTAGCTTGATTGCCTTGGCCACTTGGATGATGGCTTGACATCCGAGGCCTAATCTATCCTAATCTTAGATCAGCACCTCTCCTGAACTAATCTCCAGGTGTCCTTTGAGCTATTGTAACCTGTCAGACAGACCACAACGCCTTCATGCTGAGGATTCCTGTGTGATCCTTTTTACACATTCCCGAGCTGAGGACCCATGGTGAATGCGGGCCTTAAGAACATCAGAAGCTTAGAGCATGATTCAGCCTGATTCGCCCTCTCCAACTGAATCATCAGTTGCCAAACTGCTTGGCTCTAGACCGCTCTTGATGAAAAAGCTCCTTCTGGCCTTGGTCTGAACAGGGATCAGGAAGGTCAAGCAGGCTTACACAATTGATGCTAGGTTGCGTCTTCCTTCATACTTGCGTTGAGAGCCTCGCTAGGATCATACAAATGGAAGTCTATTCTCTGGGCCTGGCCAAGAATTGCAGCGCGTGCAAAAACATAACACTGGCCCCGGGCATCCTGTAATTTTGCTTGGCCTCAAGTCGCACAGCGGCGTACATCAGAAAGTCACCTGGAAACGGGGAAGGGGTGCAAAAGGACTGACATGACAAGTTCACTGATATGAGCACGGATTTCTGCACACGAATGCGCATGGCCTGCATCTGTGAGAAGACGAGCTGACAAATTGTCCTCAGACCTGGCCACCTCATCTCTGCATCAAACTATGCTGGTGCAAAAGGCTGCCAGAGATAACGGTCCAGGGTGCAGGCACGAAAACGCCACAGCCTTATCTAGAATGCAAAGTTGAGCACCAGTGAACGACTGCATAATGAACAACGGATCGTTTGATTAGTCTCATTGATCAAGCTCATGGCTTGCTGGACCGACGCCTGAAGAAGTGTACGAGATTGCTCTCTTGGACGCAGCTTCTGCCAATACAAACGAGACACAGCGGCACGACGAAGTCTGTCGTCATCTCGTGCGCATGGCCCTCCTCCTTGAGGGCACTATCTCCAAAACTGCAAGAATCCAAAGCTTGCACGATTCAACTTGATCCAACACCCAGGCTCCATAGACTCCAGCAAGTCTAGTGAATACCGCCTGCCCCAGCCTTAGTCGTGGCAGCATGTGGCACCTACCTCTTGACCCTTTGCATGTAATTACCGGCGTATGGAAGCCAGCTTGTGGGAAATGGAGTTGGTTGCGAGCTCCAATGACTCTCAAACCTGCGACTCAGATTGTTGGCTCCTGGCTGGGTGATTGCGAGTCCTTCAGTTAAGAAAGATTCAAGATAATAGGACATTGCCGCAAAGCGCTTGCAACTTGAAGGAGCGCCAGCGGCGGCTCCTCACCACCAGTTTCTTTTGGAGTCCGAATGCCGGAGAGAGCTGCACCTTGACGTGGGTTGTCGACGGCAAAGTAAAACAACAGCAGTTTTGTCAGCGCCCAGCGAACCAAGTACCAGCCAAAGACGTGCTTGTTTTGTGAATCTGGCCTTGCTGACACGCAGCATGTTGCTTTGATGAGATGAGAGGCCGACGGCTGCCTAATCCCTAAAAAGCAATGTGCAATCAACTGCTGAACGGTATCTTGGAAACGAGCTCTGCTTCAGCTCCCTGGGCAGCTGGAACTATGACAACCCAGACTAGGCTGCCAGCAATAAACCAAAAAGAACAACATTCTCTGGATTTGAATCTGGTACACTGCACTGCGGCACAGCGAAAAGGACTGCGGAAAGAACACCCCCCAGGTTTTCGGTTGTCGAATTGAGGGCCCCAAACAAAGGTAGTCAGTCACCACATCATGTGAAAGTCTCTACAGCTTGGCAGGCCTTTCTGATTTTTGTCATTTCTTTTGCAGTCTTTTGATGACTTTTGCTTGGGCGGCATCTGCTAAGGCAACAGCAGAGGCTTTGCAACAAACCCAGCCAGAGAAGCACCGGCGGGATTGAGATGAACACATTTCATGACAGCAAAGGTTTTGTCGTGTTTGTTCAGCTGGATCCAGTTGACAACTTGGACGAAAAGGATAGGTTGGAGGCCATGGCTAGTAGGTTGGAGCACATCGCAAGTAAGTAATTAGGTTGGAGGCCATCGCTCTTAGGTTGGAGGCCATTGCTACTATCATCAGCAAGCAGCAAGCAATTTTGGATGCGACAGGCAGCTTCAACTGCTATCACCACAGCGAGCCTCGCCGTGCTCGAGGCCATCAGGGCTTCCAGGAGCCTTGCTGCCAGGTCGCAAGTACTGTAGGTTCAATTGTGCCATCTGTGCCCGACTATTCTTGCATACCGGTGAGAACATGTGAGAACCAGTGACCATGGATGAACCAAGAACCAAGCAAGGGGAACAACAATGCCTAAGCACCTGACTGAAGAGCCGCAATTCGACCTGAAAGCAAAGCCAGAAAATGAAAAAGGGCTGTGATAAAATACCTCTCACAGAGTATCTGAGATCCTTGAGATGAGTCTTGCGCAGCTCCAGTTCCAAATCATTGACTTTCACATCTGATGTGCACCAAACTCAGTGGCGACTCAGTGGCGACCAAACTTGGTCGAAGGCTGGGCTGCTGGGGACGCTGGGGAGGTGGGCGTGCAGCCCTGCAATAGCTGACGTCAAGCAAATCAAACTGTCAAGCTCAGCACCCAAGTGGTTCAAACATTCCAAAAGTTGGCGCAGGCTTTGAGGCTCTGCTTGCGCATTTCTGCAAACGAACTGCCCAATGCTTTCCAAGTGCCTGCTTCTGCTTAGCAGATGCCTTGGTCTTCAGAGTCTTGACATTTCAACTCCGTTAGACACGGCATTGATTCTAAAGCTCATTTGCTTAGCTGTGGTGCGTCTAGAGCTGCCAAGAGCAAAAGCCGCCCGCAAGTTGCAGCACCACCCCCTGACTTTCCAGCGGCCGGCAGTGGCCTCAAGTTTGTCTCATCTGGTTTTCAGGACTTTCAGCTGCTTGCATCTTTGAGAAACTCTTCGTTGTCAAATTTGTACAAGCCATCGGCAACTGCAACATGGCATTTGGCTTGCGCGGTCGCAAGCTCCAGCTATTCTGCACAGGCTTTTGTGAATGCAGGCTGTCTGTTAGGGTTCTGTGTTTGGTCAACATGCACTCGCTACTCAAGTGATGCAAGAGCGCTTGAAATAAACGTAGTGCTTGGAATCCTGTGTGTGTGTTAGTTGCACTGTTTCGATGTTTTCTGCGGCAACTTGGCTCAGCTGGATCACGAATGGCTTCAGAAAACAATGAAAACAACTAGTAACTATAATATAAAGCAATAGTACCATGATACTTCTAATGTGACTAACACTGCAGGTGGCGCATATCGCATACATTTCCACAGCACAACGAATCAGCACTTGGCTGTCTGGACTTGAGCACAATGTGGTCCAAGTTGCTTGGATGCTCTGCGATCTCTCATGTGCACGCTTCCTCATGAAGAAAGCACTACCAAATTCCTTCACTTCGAGGTACCCTTCCAAAAACTGCTAGGATATATTATATATATAACTGGGTCGGGGTGACTGTCGAGGCATCCCTGGCCTGGGCACGGTGTGTTGCGGTTGGGTGTGGTGTCGTCATTGTGTCATTGCTTCTTGACTGTTCTCTCTCTCTCTCTCTGGCGGGCATGACTTGTTGTGTTGTCTGTGCTTATGTTTGATGGTTGGTGTTGTCAGTGTGTTGTCAGGGTCATGGTTTGTTGTTTCTTGTTGTGTTTGTACTGCCTGATCCGTTGCAGCAGCAACGGTCCCAATAGGGTGGGTTGTCAAGCTAACCTGACACTTCCCCAATCCTATCTGGCGGGAAATTCCAAGAGGCTCCTGCCTGTTTCACGCAAGTGGTTTCAGCAGGTCCACTCCAATCCGAGACTCCACAGCAGCGACAGGAATACAAGCGATGGTCTGATGGTCCTAAAATAAATCACAACATGTAGTGTCGTTTCACTCAAGCAAACTCGCTAGATTCGCCCTTGCCAGCACTTTGACCGGCGGTGTCCCCCTGAATTCCACTTTCAGAGCGCATGGGCAAGCCATCGTCAAGCGCAGCACGCTGCTCATCCAGAAGCTCCAGCCATCTCAACAGCAAGCCCAAGTAGCCCTTGTTCGCACCATGTTGCTCATCATCGTAAGCATCCTCAACATCTCTCCGGGCATTTGCAGTAACCACCCTCCCATCGAGGGCATCCATCACCAAAAGCGAAGGCAATGCCTTTAAATCCCAACGTGCCGCAGCCTCCTGGAGTCGTTTGGGCGACCAAGTTGCCCCACTCAGAACTCCCAGCCGTTTCAAATGCGCTTTGTAGGAGTCTTCGGAGAGGTCACACGAGATCCAAACAAACTCGATGTCAGAGTGTTCTGGAAAAGACTGGAGAGCCGTGTACACATCTCGCATGATATTGTCGAACTCCGTGCAAACAGGACACCAGCGGCCTGAAAAGTAAAGGAGAACAAGCTTGAGGGACTTTGGCAAGGCTTGGCTTGTGCGAATGCTACACAGCTTGTCGTCCAAATGTGTGATGCCTTTCTGCTCTTTCGTCTCTTCCTTCAGGGCTGATTTGCATAGCAGGAGGTCCTCCCCTATGAGGGAACTCCAGTCAAAGGCCGGATCCTCCATGAGGTTTTCAATGCAAAATCCTTGGCTGTACTTAGCATGGTTTACTTTTCAACATTTGGTCGATACCCCACAAGTGCAATGACAAATTCTTTGCTCTATGCCTCTATGCATGGATGTCAGGTCAGTACGACCGCTTCAAGGAAATGTCTGAGTCTGTATCGTCACTCTCGTGCTAAAGGGCCGCTTGTCAAGGCTGGCAGCCGTCTTCAACGTGCTTGAGCCTCCAAATGCCAATGCACTACTGCAAGGCACCCGCAGAGTTTGTTATGCACAGTGTCTGTTGTTGGTTGGAGATGGTTGGAGCTTCGGTAGATGATACATGGTGACACTGTACATTTGCATTGCGTGATCCTGCTATATTCCAGTACCTGGTTTAAGCTACAGTACATCTGTGCCACACGTGTCGAATCTGCTATAGCTTTCTTGGCACTCCCACAAGCAGGACAGAACTCTTTAGGTTGTCTGTTTGAGCATGCTCTTAGTCTTAGTCTTCTCCGCTCTTGTCTGCAAGCACCCACTCTCAATATCTTTCAATGAATTGGCTCTCCTTTCTATGCAAATACAGCGTGGCATCAAGTGCAAGAACTGCTCGGCCATTTGGCTCTGCGTTTTGCCGTCTGGGCAGAATTGCCAGCATTTGCTGCTGCAACATGCGCTTACTCGCAAACTGAATTCAGCATGCGCACATGCACTTCAAGTTCAGGACTAACTCCAGTGTCTAAAGTACTGGGTGTAGGCCCCTATCTGTTTGCTCGCCTGTTTGGTAACTGCTTGCCGGTCAATCGGTCAATCTTGCTCCATTATACTGTTCTGCTGCTGTCTGACGCGGGTTCGTGCTAACATGCGTTTCAACAAACATTCGGCGACTTGTCATCCTATTCCCATTCGGCGCTTTTCACGGGCCCGTTCACGGTGAAAGTCCAGAAGCTTCAAATAGCCTGATTGAAGTGCTGTCGAAGGCAAACCCGGTAACGTTGTTGTCTTCGCGCAGCTGCGGAAGATCAATAACAACTCTATAAACTGTTGAAGGCCCTGACTAGTCATACTTCCAATATGTCCGACTTTCTTTGCTGCTGCTTGAGTGCCTAAACCTGGTGCCACAAGTCTGCAACCATGCAGGCCTTCTTCAGACATTGAGGCCTGGCTTGCGAGAGACCAGTGCTTCATTGCCTCAGGCACCTGGAGCCCGGCTCGTGCGCCACAGGTGCGGTGATCAAGATAGACACACAGCAAGTCTCTACATAAGAACGCCGAAAAGAGAGAGAGAGGTATAAATATATATATATAAATATATATTTGGTACCGTCCCCCGCAAAACCCACCCTTTCATTAAAGCTACAGTGTTTTATGCGTATTTTTGTATATAAAATTTTTGATAGAAAAAAAACACAGTTCCAAAACTCCAAAACTCGAAAACTGCAGACCCCATGACCTGACCATGGCCACTCTGGGGACATAGGTCTGTGCAGTTTTAGGGTGTTGGGTTTTTTGAACTTTGGAGGGCTTCCAAAACTACAAAACTGCAGACCCAAGACCTGACCTGAACATTTGCAAAATTTAGTAAAAATTTGGCTTAATGTTAAAACGATTTGAATGTTTCAAGTATTAAATTGATTCCTCGAATTGGCAGCGCTCTTGAATTCAATATTTTAAAAATGTACAACTTTGGAACTGTTGTGCTTTTTAGAGGGGAGACCAAAGATCCAAAGTTACAAAGATCCAACACTGCACGAACCTATGGCCCCAGAGTGGCTATGGTCATATTTATTCCAAAGTTCAAAAACTGCACAGACCTATGTTCCCAGAGTGGCCATGCTCAGGTCATGGGTCTGCAGTTTTGGAACTTTGGAGTTTTGGAACTTTGGAAGGCCTCCAAAGTTCCAAAACTCCAAAACTGCACAGACCTATGTCCCCAGAGTGGCCATGGTCAGGTCACGGGGTCTGCAGTTTTGAGTTTTGGAGCCCTCCAAAGTTCCAAAACTCCAAAACTGCACAGACCTATGTCCCCAGCTTAAAATATTTAAAATATTGAATTGACATTGTATTTAATGTGTTAAATGGCTTAAGCTTTCACTTATAAAACAAAAATTGCCATATTAAAAGTATTGAATTAAATGTTTTACATTATTGAAATATTAGATTGATTCCTGGAATTGGCGACCCCTTTGAGCTCAATACTTTAATGCTTTTAATAGGCGAAACATTTTCTAGTTTTTAAACGTTAAATTCAATTTGAGTTAAACGCCTTAAATATATTGAAATTTTTACCATGGGCAGAATATGGAGAATATTTAGAATATTGAATTCAAGAGGGTTGCTAAATCCAGGAACCAATTCAGTACTGTATAAAACATTAGCATCATGAAGGGGTCTGGAGACAATTTTTCTAGTCCTGAGCAGGGCATAGGGACTGTGTAGCTCTGATCATACCAAGAAGGACCAAGCAACCAAGAGTGAACGCTCTGGGAGCGAACGATGTGAGTATGTCCAGTTGGGCGAGGTAGAGGCTTGGGGATAAGAGCGCCGCAAGGGGAGAAGCAAGAAAGCTGCAAGCGTTCAACGCTTCATGCTGTGCTCCGATCTTGATCTCAGTCGCAGTGATACCAGATCCACGAAACTACAAGCTTTCAACTATAGGTGCCCTGCTATTTTTTCAGAAAACGACGTTATGCGGGTGTGGTTTTTACGCGTTTTTGTGATTTGTGGTTTTCTGCGTTTTTTTGAAAATGTTAGTTGTTTTGAAGAACGTGTCTAGCAAAAATGTCGACTTGTAATCTATCAAACTTCTCATCAATCTGATTCAAACATACTAGTTCTCATTGATTCCCACACAGAAGTCCATCAAGCATCATCTATCAGCAAGTCCACGACATCCCATCATACAACATCAGGACATCACCTCTATGAGGGAGATCTGGTCTCTAAGACCTCCAATCTCAATCAGTCCTCAATCTCCAGCAA